AGATTTAAATGATCATATATCCATAAAATAGTAATGACTACTGACAGCCGATGCCTACTTGTTGATAGTATGCCATTGTCAATTTCAATGATTGTTTGGAACAATTACATTCAAAGCTTGAAATAATAACAATTTAAACAGATCGTTTAGCCAAATATTATTGAAAAAAGGCTTTAATGCAACCTAAACATATAACACCTAAACATATAACAATTGATCTAATCAAATCAGAAATATTGCAGAAATATAAGCAATGTATCATTTTTGTTTTCTTCTGTTCAGTTTTGACTATAGTTTTATTTGCTACATAAATCWCATTCTCGAAACGTCCAGTAATAATAACTAATCCATGTAACATGATGTAAAGAAGACTGACATTTAAAGCCATTGGAGACCACATCATTAAATCCACAGTTAGAACTACGACCATTAAGAAATCGTGATACCTACTGGCTATTCATTGCGAGTATTTTCGTATACATTYATACGACTCTGCAATTTAACTTAAATTTATCTATAATTATTGTAACAAAGTTTAATTAATAACACTATAACATCATAATCAGTAAATAATATCGTAATCAAGCGTATCGCGATAAACCTGATCAACATCTGAAGCTATATATAATTGACTTGTCCAAAATGACTTACCGTTGACTTGGCCATGTTTCAGCAGATCTCCCTGGCAGTTAGAGTTTATTTCAGTTTTGATCCTTTCCGTTCGTGCCCAATCCCCAGTCGTAAAGCATAGGAATCCGGTACATAGGACTTCCTCACTAGTGTTCCCTTACTTTATGTATGAGTCATTTCCATGTTTGGGAACATTCTCGATCTTTTGTACTTTCACGATGAGAAATAACGATATAAAAAGCAACAAAAACACTCGAAAACTAGCGTAAAAAACTGACTTATGGGGCGGGCATTTGACCACTCATTTGCTTTTACTAGTGTGTGCATTTGACTGTCAATTTTGCCCATATGGTGGGGAATTTGACCACTTTTTTTTTCGAAAAGTCAAATGCCCGGGGGTTCACCCGGGGGGTGGATGGGCACCTTTGGAATCGACTCATACATTACAGTGCAAAGAACGCTCAGAATTTACATCATAGAAAAATTGTTGTATTTGAATAGCATCGTAGAGTGTGTAAACAAGACCACACACAACAAAAATCCATGTCGCGGCAATACGTCCTATTCTACTTTAGAGTGAATAAATGCTGTAACAACCGATTCTCTTGCTCTAAGGGCCTTGCATAACGGAAC